GTTCGTGCTCGGGATCCTTGGCTGCTACTCGCCGCCGGCCGAGAGATTTGGCAGGCGCTGATTCACAGTCTTCGGAATGGGGCGAGATGCGGCGCAGATCGTTGAGGCTTCCGAGGTCCTGATCATCGCTCGTCCAAGCGTGGATCTTGTCCCACACGATGAAGGCCAGCTTCTTGCATTTGCGCCGCAGGCAATCGGTCGCCCATTCCTCCTCATTCGCAAAATGCGTTTGGGTGGTGCGATCGAGAAGCTTGACATCGAGGACGCGCTTTATGCCGCGCGGGGTCTCCTCCTTGCGCTCCTCGACGATCAGGGCGGCCACATGCACGGTGCGCTGGTGATCAGCGAATCGAAGCGTGCAGTCGTACGTCAACCGTCCATTTCGTATCAATTCGCTCAGGCTCCGCCCCACCACCAGATTCGATACCGAGACGAACGCGACAGTCGGCACGCGCACCACCTGAGCCTTCGCCTCTCCCTTCATTCTTGCCGGTCTCCCCGTCTCGTGCCAATCTTGTTGGCGCGTTCTTGAGCCTCAACAGCGTTTCGGCTGCCGGTTTCCCGCCAAAATGGTGGGTCTGATGTCGGGTGTGGAACCGGTCAGGATTTTCCAGTTAACCTCCTGAGCTTGGGTGCATGGCCGCAAGGTAGCCAATACCTCCCTGTCACAGTGCATGCGCAGTCCGGGCACGTTCCTCACCGCCTCCGTTGGCAGTGCGTGTGTGTCGAGTGTGTCGAGTGTGTCGTGTTGGTCGTGTGTGCTTTGTGTGTGTGTAGGACGCCCCTACCAGGGTGGTCTCGGACGCCCGTGCTGAAGGCGGGCCAAGTCGCCTTCCATGTCCTCTTGTGGACGGCCTACTCGTCCATCGGCTGCACCGCGCTGGTCCTGCGCTACTTGCGTTCGTCTCTCTTCCTCGCTCGCCCATAACGCAGCTGCGCCAACAATCAAAAATACTGACCATACAAGCGCAGTGCGACAGACCTGCGAGACTCGGGGCAGCTGGTTGTGCACGAGAGCCATCCGGCTGGGCAGCGTGGGTTACGACTACGCCGGGACAAAGCAGCTCCTGTCCAAGACCAAACTGACCCGCATCGTCAAGGTGCCTTGAACCACCATCTGACTGGTCCACCAGACTCTACCATTGAGGCGCTCACTCTCGCGTTTCTCGCCATCGACACAGGGGGTCGGGTTTCTGTTGGGCCTGGTCGTCGTGGGCCGCGAAGTGCGCCGCGGCTCGCAACAGGCCTCCACCCTGCTCGCCTGCGTCAACGAGACCATCCATCTCTCCGCCGCTCTGATCCGACCGCCGACGCCCTCCCCTCCGACTGCGTGGTTGTGTTTTGTTAATTACAAGAAGACTCATTAACAGGAGCTGAGCGCGTCGAACACGGCGATGGCGTTCTCGGCGGTGAGGTGCGCGCTGGCCGGGTTCGCGCCGGTCACCACCTGCCCGTCGACCAGCGAGAAGGCCTCGAAGGGCTTCTGCGGCGCCACGTACCGGGCGCCCACCCGCTCGGCGCCCTCCTCGATCGTCTGCAGCCCGTCGGCCCGGATCCGCTCCAGCACGCCCAGCGCGCCCTCGGCCAGCGTCGTGAAGCCCGTCACCGTCTTCCCGTCGATGATCGACCCGCCCGTGGCCGCGTCGACCACCGCCGGCAGGATCGCCGGCCCGTGGCATACGGCCGCCACCACGCCGCCGCGGCGGTACACGTCGGCGGCGATGCCGATCAGTCCGTGCGCGGTCGGGTAGTCGTAGAGGGTGCCGTGGCCGGCCGACGCGAAGAAGAGGCCGTACTGCGACGGGTCGACGTCGGCCGCCCTCTTAAGCTGGCCCCGCAGCTTGGCGTTGAACGGGTGCGCGGCGTCGTGGAGCGC